AAAAAAAAAAAAGCTGGGACCACTGCCTTGGGCCACTCACACATTCCTTGCTTAGGGTTCTGCGGGGGTCCACCTGTCCCTCACACAGGCTCACCTTTCCCACACCGATGAGTGCTTTCCCTAACACGCAAAGCACTTTTGAAAATCAGTGAGACAAAGGCGAACATTGCAGTAGGAATAGTAGCTGTCAGCCACAGACGGTTCACAGGCTCACCTTTCCCGCAGGTCGTGGAGCATTCTGTCGTCCCAAGCTGCTTCCAGTTGTGATCCCGGCTTCGCCGTGGGGGCTGCGGTGCCGGTGGCACCAAGGTATCCGGTCGACGGGGAGAAAATCTGTCCGGATGCCTGACCGGGAAGGTCTGTGCCGATTCCGAGGTGAATGTCTCCGGGGCCTCCCCACGCAAGTCCTCCTTCTTCTCATTCCTCCCTTTCGCTTCTCCCTCCTCCTGGCTCCTGCCTTCTGTCACTAACTGGCCGTTGAGGGGTTCCCCTAGGAGAAGGAGGCATGCACACACAGAAGCAGGATCAGCTTGGACGCTGAGTTCTAAAGAGGAAATTGCTTCAACAGCAGACGCTGTGTAGCATCAGATGGTTTCGAACTCACAGCACATAAGCACATCTGTTTAAAACCAGCAGACACCTATTAGTGCTTTCCCTCACATGCAAAGCACTTTTGAAAATCAATAAGACAAAGAAGAACATTGCAGTAGGAATAGCAGTTGTGAGCCATAGATAGTTGACATAAGAAGAAATATAAACAGTCAAAGTCATATAAAAATCCTCAGCTTCACTCATAATTCCATAAATTCACAGGAACAGACCACCACCACCACCTCTATTTACCTAACACCAAAGACTGGAAAGGTTGGAAACTTTAAATTTCACGTAAACTGTATCCTTCTCCCAAATCCCACAAGCCTATCTTCTCTTTTATTTGGAGAGACACCCCGTGCTTTTTCCAAAGGTTGGAAAGTTTTTCCCAAAATGCCTGTTGAAGGTGCAGGAGAACACACTTTCAGTCACTGTGGAGGAGGCTGCAAATTGATCCATGGTTTGCAGGGAAATTTGGCATTATCTGCCCAAATTTTAAAGGCACATACCCTTTGACTTAGCAATTCAGTTTCGAGCAATCTGTCCTGCAAATATTTTCTTTTACATAGAGCAGAATATACAAGTATGGTTACTGAGGATTGATTGACTGATTGATTGATTGGAGATGGAGTCTCGCTCTGTCGCCCAGGCTGGAGTGCAGTGGCGCGATCTCAGCTCACTGCAACCTCCGTCTCCTGGGTTCAAGAAACTCTCTGCCTCAGCCTCCTGAGTAGCTGGGATTACAGGTGCTGCCATCATGCCTGGATAATTTTTGTATTTTTAGTAGAGATGGGGTTTCATCATCTTGGCCAGGCTGGTCTTGAACTCCTGACCTCGTGATCCACCCACCTTGGCCTCCCAAAGTGCTGGGATTACGGGCATGAGCCACCACACCTGGCCACTGAAGTATTATTTGAAATAGCAAAACAGTAGAACAGACATAAATGTTCATCAGTGGTACTGGTTAAACTACCTTATGCTACAAATACAAAATGGAATACTATGTGATTTTTGAAAATAACGCAGTGAATATATGTTCTGGCATGAAGAAGTGAGTGAATGTTGTTTGGTGAAAGAAAAAAGCTTAACACACACACACACATAGACGTGGCAGGTCACTTTTTGAGATACTAATTTGTGTTTGGTTTTCTGTCTTTATTCCTCTACCTCCTCGGGTTTGAAAGAGGAGCCAAGTCCTTAGATGTTATTGCTTTGTTTTTGTGCAGGACAGAAAACAAAAGCTGCTAGAAGTCAACAGCTTTCTTTCCAAGACTGCAGGCCTAGGCTGTCATTAAGGGTAAGTGGATGTCCCTGAGGGGCCCCCCAGACAGGAGGAGGGCACATTTTGAGAGAGAGAGAGGAGAGGAAGAGAGAGACAGAGAGCAAGAGAGAGAGAGGAGAGATAGAGACAGAGAGTAAGAGAGACAGAGATAGACAGCAAGAGAGAGAGACAGGGAGAGAGAGAGAAAGAGAGAGACAGAGCAAGAGAGAGAGACACAGAGACAAAGAGACACAGAGACAGAAGGCAAGAGAGAGACAGTAAGAGAAAGAGACAGAGACAGAGAGCAAGAGACAGAGATAGACAGCAAGAGAGAGAGACAGGGAGAGAGAGAAAGAGACAGAGAGAGCGAGAGAGACACAGAGACAAAGCAAGAGAGACACAGAGACAGAAGGCAAGAGAGACTGAGACAGAAACAGAGATCGAGAGAGAGATAGTAAGAGAAAGAGACAGAGAGACAGAGAGCAAGAGAGACAGAGAAAGAGACAGAAACAGAGATCAAGAGACAGAGAGACAGTGTGAGAGACAGAGAGTAAGACAGAGAGAGACGAGAATAAGAGAGACAGCAAGAGAGAAAGAGACAGAGAACAGAGAGCAAGAGAGAGAGCGAGAGACAGAGACAGAGCAAGCTAGAGAGCAACAGAGAGAGAAAGAGAGAAGTTTTCAAGGTGAAGGAGAGGTAGGTGTGTGGGGTCTTGGTTTGCTGAGTGCCATGGAGCCTTAGGTGTGCCGGACAATGTTCCAGGAGGAGGCCACACCTGCGGTGGGAGAGGGGCCTGGCTGCCAGCCTCACCAGCATCCTGTGCCCCCCATGCAGAGCCCTAACCTGAAGGCCCCATGAGGCTGCTCCTGGTGGCACCTCAGCAGAATTAGTGTGGACAGACCACCAGGGGGTCCAATGCTTTGGTTTGTCAAAGTCTAGATCTTTGCTTATACCTGGAGTGTGTGTGTGTGTGTGTGCGTGTGTGTGTGTGCGTGCGTGTGTGTGTGTGTGTGTGTGTGTGTGACCCTCAAGCAGACTGCGATGGAATTATCTACTGGTTTCAAATAAGGGGGAAGTTGAGGTCAGATTTAAATAGACTAATGGAAAATAATAATATGCACTATTCCTTGCACATCTGCGACTGTAGTCAGTGATTCAAATGGGCTGCAAACATGTTTGTGTATGCATAGAGAAAGGCTAGGCACAACCCCACCAAAGGGCTAGGCTCCCTCTGGGAAGGGTCTGGGGTTGGGAGCTGTTGAGTTTTTAAAAATAGACACTTTTTTTTTTTTTTTTAGAGCAGTTTTAGGTTCACAGAAAAAGTGAGTAGAAAGTATAGAGTTGCTGGCCAGGTGTGGTGGCTCACGCCTGTAATCCCAGCACTTTGGGAGGTCGAGGTGGGTGGATCACGAGGTCAGGAGTTTGAGACCATCCTGGCCAATATGGTGAAACCTCATCTCTACTAAAAATACAAAAATTAGCTGGGCATGGTGGCACGTGCCTGTAGTTGCAGCTAATCGGGAGGCTGAGGCAGAAGAATTGCTCGAACCGAGAAGGCAGAGGTTGCAGTGAGCCGAGATTGCACCACTGCACTCCAGCCCGGGTGACAGAGGGAGATTCTGTCAAGAAAGAAAAGAAAAGAAAAAAAGAAAAAGAAAAGGAAAGGAAAGGAAAAGGAAAAGGAAGAACAGAGTTCCCACACACCTCCTCCCACCACACAGGCACAGGGTCCCTAACCACCACCATCCCACATCAGAGAGGTACATGTGTTAAAACTGACTATCCTACATGGACATGTCATGATCGTTTAGAGTCCATAGTCCACATGAGGGTTTGCACTTGGGGGTGAACATTCTATGGGTCTGTGCCAGTGCACAGTGACATGTATCTGCCAGTGTAATGTCACATAGAGTAGTTTCACTGCCCTGAAATCCTCCATGCTCCACCTGCTTATCCCTCTGTCCTCCCAGCCCCTGGCAACCACTGATGTTTTTACTGTCTCCGTAGTTTTAACTTTTCTGGAATGTTATATAGTTGGAATCAAACAACATGTAGCCTTTTCAGATTGGCCTCTTTCACTTAGTAACATGCATTGAAGGTTCCTCCATGTCTCTGTGATTTGATGGCTCATTTATTTTTAGCCCTAAATAATATTCCATTAGTTTTTATCTGTTCACCTATTTAAGGACTTCTTGGTTGCTTCCAAGTTTTGGCAATTATGTGGCAGTTACTTTTGACTCTACATATTTCTATTTTGATTGGATATTGTTCAAGTATGTATCATTGTAATACAAAATAAGGAGGCAAATTCTAGGGTTACCAGAGAACACAGTTAAAACTACAAGGGGCCTGGGTGAGGTGGCTGGCTCATGCCTGTAATCCCAACATTTTGGGAGGCCAAGGTGGGAGGACTGCTTGAGCCCAGGAGTTCAAGAGCAGCCTGGGCAACAGAGTGAGACCCCATTTCAGTCATAATAAAAATAATAAAATCATTAGGATTTTCTAAGCTTTTTTTTTTTTTTTTAAATTTTGAGACAGAGCCTCTCTCTGTCACCCAGGCTGGAGTATAAGTGGCTCACTGCAGCCTGTACCTCCCGGGTTCAAGTGATTCTCATGTCTCAGTCTCTTGAGTACCTGGGATTACAGGTGAGTCATATCTGGCTACTTTGTGTACTTTTAGCGGAGATGAGGTTTTGCCATATTGCCCAGGCTAGTCTTGAACTCCTTGGCTCAAGCAATCTGCCCGCCTTGCCTTCCCAAAGTGCTGGGATCACAGGCATGAGCCACTGCAACCTGCCTCTCAGCTTTTTCACTAGGACTTTCTTACTTAGTTGGCTAACTATTATCCTTCATCGTTTAAAATATGACATGCAAATGTAACCAAAAAATCAGGACCAGGCATGCTGATATAAATGAGAACTGTCCAAGATGTTGTTGGACAAAACAATTTAAAAAATCTTTCGGAGCCTTGTGCTGGGCACTATGCTGGGATGGACATCTAATTTATTCACTCTCCTTCCATGTTCTCCCTCCTGCCAAAAACTACCTTGTGGGGTTTTTCTTCTATTCTGTAGACTAGGTAAGTGTTCAGAGAGGTTGCTGATCTGCCTGAGGGTGCACAGCAAGAAGGTGTGGATCAGGATTCCAACTCAGACTCCATTGATATGGAAGATGAAGTGTGGTCACAATGCCCCTGCTCACCAACTTTTGACAGGTGACCCTTCCAGACCTGCCCTATCCCAGGGAGCTGATCCCAGAACCCCCATGCTATTCATGAGCTAAGACCCGTCAGGCCTGACAGAAATCATCATCATCCTGATAGATTTCAAATAGTCTGTCTGATTATCCCTGTAAACAAGCAAAGGACCCCAGAAATCTTATCCAAACTTGGTTTCTCAAACTGTGCATTGCTTCTGAACATGACATAAAAATTCTCTGTTGCACTGAGTGTGCTGACTTGGAGTTTGGACCACACCCCCCCTCCCCATGTGCTGGGGACGCACCCAACTATTGTTCTCCCCAGTGTGTAGCTGTCAGATACCCTGGTTGTCCCATCCAGAGCTCAGAGAAGGATGGATGGGCCAGGTTTGGCATCTGTGGCTTTATTTCCTCCTAGGATACGGATGGGACCACGTAACCTCTCAGCCACATAACAAGCACAGGTATGGTCACACAGGCCCTCCTCAGGTCACTGCCCAGGTGTGGGACCTGCACAATTATTAACTTATTTTTTCTAAGCTTCCATTTCCTTACTCTTAAAATAAGGCTAATAACATTATGTCCCTCCAAGTACCTTCCTCTGTTGTGAGAATTCAGCACAGCAGTTTATAAGTCCTTATACACAGCAAGGACTCGGTGCGTGTGAGCTATGATTACCATGAATACTTCCGCAGACATTCCTATTTTAAGGAAGGTGAAGACTGTCTGCATTTGGGGGGTGGGCTCCATCATCCTCTGCTCTCTCTGCAGACTCAGAGAGCAGTCCCATGCCCAGTGCCAGCCGAGAGAAAGCTGCCTGCTCTGCCCACAAGCAGAGCCCACCGGGAAGACTCAACATGGATTGTCAGGTGTGAACTCATTATTCTTGTCTTATAGGTCAAAGTATTATTAACAGAAACAAAAGGGGACCAAGAGAAAAGGCATATAGTAGACAGATAATGGCCCCCTAAAGATGTCCACATCCTCATCCCTGGAATCTGTAAATATGCTACCTTACATAGCAAAAAGGGCCTTTGCATATGAAACTAGAGATTTTGAGAAAGAGGGATTATCCTGGATTGCGTGGGTGGGCCCAGTGTACTCTCAAGGGTCCTTATAAAGGAAAGAGGAGATGTGACGAGGCCAGAGCCAGAGAGAGACGTGAAAGTGCCAGCCCGCTGGCTTTGAAGGTGGAGGAAGGGGCCAGGAGCCAAGGAAGGCAGGTGGTCCCTAGAAGCTGGAAAAGGCAAGGAAGTGGGTTCTCTCCTAGAGCCTCCGGAGACAGCTAGGCCCTGATGACACCTTCATTTTGCCCCAGGGAAACCTGTTTCAGACTTCTAACCTCCAGAACTCTGAGAGTAAATTTGTGTTGGTTTTTCTAATTTTGAGATAGGATCTCACTCTGTCATACAGGCTAGGGTACAATGGTACGATCATGGCTCACTGCAGCCCCAACCTCCTCGGGCTCAGATGACTCTCCCACCTCAGCCTCCTGAGTAGCTGGGATTGCAGGCACACACCATCACACCTGGCTAATTTCTGCATTTTTTTTTTTGTAGAGATAGGGCTTTCATCATGTTGCCCAGGCTGGTCTTGAACCTCTGGGCTCAAGCGATCCACATGCCTTGGCCTCACAAAGTACTGGGATTACAGGCGTGAGCCCCCTTGCCAGGCTTGGAAGCTAGTAGAAAGCATTTCAAATGTTGAACTGGCAGGCCAGACCCAGGATGCTCGCACCATTTTTTAATCGAGTGAATGACACAGTCTCATCAGTAACGGCTCAGACAAATGGTCAAGCCTGCTCCAATGTCAAGGCCCCTTGGCTTTGAAATATGCGTCCCTGGGTTTTCTCTGTGTTGACTGAGAGACAGAGGGTGGATGCACAAGAACTGAGAGAGAGAAGGCTTTTCAGGAAGTGACCCAGAGTGCCTGGCCACAAGACAAGGGATTCTACCTGGTCTCCTGTGGGGCAGCACCTGGGGGCTGATGGCGTTGGTCCCCATGATCACGTACTCGTAGTGCACACCTGGGTTTGGCTGCTGGTGTATCATCTGCCGACAGAAACATCAGTGTTACTGCACCTGGCCCGTACGCACACCCCTTCTCCCGCTGGCTTGGGTTTCAATGGCATTAACAGAACTATTGATACATGACTGGGATGGTTCACTCTAGTACGAATCTAGTAACATTAGTGAACCCGTGGCAGATTAAAGGAAGTCATTTCCGGATGGCTTTTTGTTATGTACATTTGAAGAGTGAAGAACTTAGGCTGAGGAAGTCAGAGGAAAGCTAAGCTAAGAGTCAAGATTTTTCTCAGCTCCAAATGGGAAGATGGAGCGATGGTAGCAGAACCTTTCTGTTGGCTCACAGCCTCCGTGCCATGGCTTAGATTTTGCTCAGCGCTCTCAACACAGATGAATACGTGTACACTGCAGGAGACCTGTTTTAACAGTAGGTGGTGCGAGAGAGTCATGCAAACAAGCAGCAGACATCCTGGACAGAGCCATCCCGGGATCCTTCAGGTCCCTCCAAAGTTCTCCACCCGGCTGCTGAGGCTGGCTCCAGGTTTCTCCCCTTCTCATTCATGGAAAGCCCCAGAAACATAAAGATGGGGTCAGGAAAACAGGTAGAAGGGACCCAAGTCTTGCTGGGTCATATTCTCTTAGGAATGATGACAAAAAATAGGACAGCAAGCAGAATCTACATAGGGCTGTGGAAATCAGCAGCTGAACATCATCCGGGCTGAAAACACATTGCATGAACATGGCCCAACAGAATACATCCTTCCCTATCGGATCTGGAGTCCTTGCTGCCCATGGCTTTCCTGATGGGAAGCAGGGTGGTGGGCCAAACCGAGCAGCAGAATGAGAACCCACGGTGTAAATATGAGCTCTGCAAGGAGACATGGTCGGTTTTGATATTTCTGTCTCTGTTGACCAGCTGTGTAACCTAGAGCAAGTCCCTTTACCCTGCAGTGCTGATTTCTTCCTTGAAGAAGGAAGAGGTTAGAATCATGTCACTCTCAAAGGTCCTTTCCAGTTAGAAGCTCTCTGAGTCACTCCTGCATGGTAGGTCCTGTGTCTGTTCTTCCTATTTATGCCATGATCTCTTGCCCACTCTCTACTGATGAAAGGGGTGTCCATTTTATAAATCACCCAGAGGCAGGCAGACCTGAGAACTCCTGGGATTCTCCTACCCAGGGACCAGTATCAAAAACCATCGCTATTGCAGAAATATGGCGGTGGGCACTGAACCCCCGAGGGACACAGTTGTGTGGCCTCAGGTTCCTGCTGTGTACCCCTCATCCTCTCACACCCTTTTCACACCATGTTCCTCTCGGTCTGTGGCTGGAAATCCTCCCTCCCTCTCTGGTGCCTCTTCTGCTTGAACATTCTGCCAGTGCAAACCTTGTCCCGTTTACGAAATTGCTGTTGGCTTCCATTCCTAGACCACCCACAGTAGGCCTTTAACAACCTGAGTGTTTACCTCTGATACCATGTGAAATGTATTCAGAGTCAACCGACCAACTGACAGTCTGAAAAAAAAATCCAAAATTAACTATAACAAGGCTTCCTTTGTAATTTTGAGTCTACTGGGCCCAAGAGGAAAGGCCACAGGACTGTGTGCAGGTAGAGAAGTAATGACAATGCAATTAATAATATTTCTAAAACTCTGACACAGCAAATATGTTAATCAGCTCGGCTTTGGGGACAAAAAGAATGTGTATAATCATGGGTGATCTCATTCTTTTTATCCAAATGTTATTTCAAGCTTTTATTTCTTATCACCCTTTATTTCATGGTCTTTTTAAGAAGACTATATTCTAGTGGTTTCCTTTGAACCATTTAAAACTCTTGAGCAATTTAATATTTTAGTTTCGCATAAAATAAATTAAGGTTTTGTCTTCTGTGAAGCAGTGAGCTACTAGTAAACCTCTCTCCTGTGATCCGAGCTCCACTGTTTCATCTGGAGGGCTCTGGAACTCTCCTTTCTTCATTTGCTCTGAGTTTGAACAGGGCTGGGAGCTGGGAGTGATCCTGCTTTCCTTTGCCTTAAAACACACACGCCAAATTAGCATTATGAGAAAAGTACCTTGAGGAGATCCGGTGCTCATGAAATAAGGGGCATGTTTTGCCTCTGATTTGGTTCAACAAGTAAAATCGGTTTTACTGGGTCAATAAACTCTGAAGGTCATACGCCTCTGGGGGAGGTGGAGGTTTCTATGAGCTAGGCCCATTCAGAGGTAAAGGCAAAGATAAACGCCAAGCATTCAAGGGGTGCCCCCAACAGGTTCTGCTCAAAGGGTTTTTATTGAGTGCGGGCAACGATTTGTGGCTTATTTGTTCAGAGTGTGTTCCTCAGAAGTGACAAGATTCAAAATCCAAAGGACAGTCCAGAAACATCCAAACTCACATAGACATCCAAGATCTCGTTGGTGGGACCTTCCGCCAAAAAGGACTCTCCAGCAGTGCTCGAAATCTCATTTGGACGCTTGTAGGTGAACATGGTCCCTCCGCCCTCGTATTTTCCTGGACGATCAATTGCCCAGTTCCCATTGATGATGGAGCGTCCAGAACGACTTCGCAAGGCTGTTGAGAAAAATGAGACAGTTCTTCAGGTAAGCCCAGGGTGTGCACAAGGTAGAGAGCTGACTCCCCCAGTCTCTGGCTTCTTCATTCACCCAGGTTTTTGTTAGGATCCACCATGTGCTAGGCAGTGATCCGGGCCCCGGCACACCATTAGGCATCTAGATTACATCCTCTTGGGCTGAACCACTTCTTCAGCCCACTCTAATCCCTTCTACCACTAGGACTTAGTATAGAAATGTAGGTGAAAAGGATGTGGAAAATGGGAGGGAAAGGAAAAAGGGGAGGAAGAGAAAAAGGGGGGAAGGGAAACAAATTTATATTCTATACCATTATCTAGGTGAGAGGTTGCATATTGGCAGCCCAAGAGCTGATTTTGGCCCATAGATGGGTTTAGTTTGGCTTCTGTAGTGTTATTAAAAAAAAAAACAACTGAGCCCAAATATAAGAATTGAAATATTTCACATAAAAATTTTTAGAGTTCTAGCTTCTCTTATAAACCAGCAAGACATGTTAACAATGGCTTCACACTCCCTCATGGCAGCAGCGGGAGCCCAGGATGGCTGCCCCTCTCAGATGGGCCCTATATGCTCTGATTTGCCCCAGTCCCTACCCCTCCTGTTGCCCCCAACCACTGAGGCTCTCAGTTTATTACCCCTTTATTTATCAATATGGGTGATTTATATCATTTTTCATACTTGCATTGTTCTTTTTCTGATCCAATTTTTTCCTTTTCATTTTTTTATTTTTGGAGACAGGGTCTTGCTCTATTGCCCAGGCTGGAGTGCAGTGGTGTAATTCTGGCTCACTGCAGCCTCAACCTGCTGGGCTTAAGGAATCCTCCTGTCTCAGCCTCCTGAGTAGCTGGGAATACAGGCAGGCACCAGCATGCCTGGCTAATTTTTGTGTGTATGTGTGTGTGTATATATATACACACACATATTTTTTTTTTTTAGAGATGGGGTTTTGCCATGGTGCCCCAGCTGGTCTCAAACTCCAGAGCTCAAGCGATCTGCCTACCTCAGCCTCCCAAAGTGCTGGGATTACAGGTGTTAGTCACCACACCTGGCCTGGAATTTTTCTTATAATTCTCTCTACTCACATGTCTACTACAAGTGGCAAAGCTAAAGACAGGCCAAGAGGGTCACATGATTTTCTCCTGTACCTGGTCAGCTTCATTCATTTCGATGACCTTCCTGACTTCCTGGGCATCTGAGGCTGTGGACTGTGATAGATACCCCACACACACTGTCACATTTAATCGTCACAACATTGCAGAGCAGATGTTATGATCCCCATCTTTCAGAGTGGCTCAGAGATTCGAGGGAACTTGTTGAGGTTTATGAGGCCCATGGGTGTCAGGCCTACGATTTTGAGTCTGTACTCAGGAGAGGGGTCAGAAAGGAGAAGGGGGCAAGGAACAAGGTGTTGGAGTTAACAGGAGAAGAAGGGGTGGCATCTGGAAGTAGAATTTCTTCAGCTACTCTTGGTACCTGGAAACCCACAAGCCAATGGAGGACTGGGTTTAGAGGTGGTCCTTTTTTTTTTTTTTT